ATGGACCCATAATTTTTCATAACGATTTTCCAGTGCGGATTTTATTGTTTCTGTCTGGATATTCCACGTGTAATCAAGTAATCGAGTTACGATCTCAAAATCAAATTTTATAAAAATTATTCCAATTCAACTCAAAAATTATTCCAATTGCCAAAGAATCGTTATATATTTCGTGAACAATTTTTTTTTTAAATTTTAATCGTGATAATGTAATAATAGATTGATTAAGTATTTGTACTTCTGAGAAAATCATAGTAATTCTATTAAAGACGCGATTCGCGAGAACAGTAACTTCTATCATGTCTATTCGTGTTAACGATTACCGAGACCTCGATCTATGAAGTCTTGCGATTATTACTTAATGACTGCATGAACGTGAAGAAATGTTTGCGGTTGGCGGCAAGATGGTCTTACAAATACACTCCACTGTCAATAGATTGTAGAAAGTGATCTCGTGATCTACCGGCCCTCGATCTGGACACAACTTCACGCTCTGGAAATGCGCGTGGGCGTTGATACACGAAATCTACATTTGATTTCAATACCGATCAATTCAAATATACTCAAGTATAACTAGTGTCTATTTTAGGTATGCGTCATCACAAAATGATATCATCGAAAGAATGCGTCTGTTCGAATCTTGGTAAACTAGATAAATGACCGAGGACAAAGGAAAAAATAAATTTTATATCTTGCTTGCTTTGTTAGACCTGAGATCCTACGTGATTTCATTTGACTCTCATATCTCACGTCATAATAGTAAAAATGAAGATGTATGAACCGTGACAGAAATATGTATATGTAATCAAGACCTGAGAAGTTAATATCATACGAATAAAAATGACTGCGATAAATATAAACTGAAATATTCAGTTTCGACCATTAAACTATATCCTAACCGGAATGAGCACAGTTATTATTTTCGAGTCACGTGATCCAATCTGAGAAGGATCAAATGGAGAAAATCTACCTCTTTTTATCATATTATAGATTTTTATTTATTATAAAGGTGACAAATATTATGCGCGACAAAGATAACAATTTACGGTCTTTGTCTAATTGTTTAATTAATAAGTTTGACTGTAATTATCTTGCATTCTCATTCCGAATACAATGTCCTCGATTTTATAACTCTTTGTCTAGATAAAAAAAATATTTATAATTTTTTATTTAACAATATAAAAGGAAACCTCTATTTACCATTGTATAATAAAAATAGAAAAAAATGATGATTATTTCAAAATATTTCAAAATTATATCATACTTTATGATACTCTTGTCCCAATAATTAAATATTACAAATAAGTGCACATATTTTTATAATTTCATCCTATGTGCAGAGAAACCGAAATGTATGAAAGATCACGCTGATCCAGAAATTCTCGCGTTTGTAGTGCCATAAACACGGCTCAGTCGAATCGCGACGCTAAATTTACGGCGCACATTTACGAACTTGAGATGCAAAACAAGTTTCCTTGATCGGTTTCGTCGCCGTATTCCGACGATTAGACCAATCGTCTCGTCTCATAAATACGTGAAGAAGCGAAAAAAAACAGACTCTTATTGATTTACAACTCAAAACTTGAAAAGGTTCAAGTCTGACCTACAAAAGCTATCAATGGCTAACGACACTTTAGTTTTTCCGTTTTAATTATTTTTATATCATAAATATAACTATCTTGAGTTAATAGAATTATGCTAATGATAGAAATAAGCGTAATAATTTTAAAATATAATTTACAAGTATCGATATAACTAATACAATTTTTAGAGCGAGCTAAGCATATTGTTAATTGATAAATTTTGCGGATTGCACTTATAAAATATTGTTATTTTATATTATATTGATTGTTGTATTATATTGATAAGTACAATTAAATACAAAAAAAATTTAATCGTTAATATTAAATCGACCATTCAAAATCGCGATATGATCAACGGATGACTCAGTTTTATTATTACTCAAGTGTTTCTCCAAATTTAATCTTCAATGGGATTATGGGATTATCTACATTCTTTCTTTAATATCTGAATGCATTAAGACGATTCAGGCTACTCCAAAAAGCAGACACGTAGGGGCCACGAATCGCAGACGCAACCGAACAAACATGCAATTTTTTTTTTATCCGCCCATAGTTAATGAACGCCCGCCAGTTCACACGGTCAGCATTCACGCGGAAAAGCAGAAAAAAGTATGTGCATGAAAGGGAAGTGCAAAAAAATGAGTGGCTGGAGGAGAATCCGTGTGTGTCATCTGCTTTTCGGCTTGGGAGACTATCGAGCCTTACGCTCCCTCGCTCGGCGCTGCGAGAAAAACGCGGCACGCAGTGCACTCAACGTGCATTACAAAACACGCGTATAAATTGCCGCCATTAACTCTCTTGCGCGAGATCGTACAAGAGCAAGAGTCGCAGCGATAAATAATTAAAAGAGAAATATATGACTATTCTACGCCCGCTAGGAATGTTAATTACGCAAGATATGGGAAGAAATATCTTTTGAATAAGTATATATAATTATAAGATTACGTATTCGATTCGAGATTTACTTATTGAGGCAGAAAATAATCAAAATTAGGAAACGATATTTATTGCAGCACGATTAAATATCAAGCGGCACACGCGTAAAACGTATCGATCGACACCGTTTTAGACGTGTCATTATGTCCGTCACTTATAGAGAATGCGATACGCAAATGAATCTACGGGATCTTTGAAGTCCAGATTACTCGTTAGCCGATAAGTAGTCAATTATTCACCTAGAAAACGATATTGGGTATAACCGATTACATCGCGCCTATAAGTTTCTCGTAAAGAGCACGTTAAGGTATAACCATGCCGACCGGTAGCAGCACTCGCAGGCATTATCTGAGAAATAGTAAGAGGCTGAGAGGCCGACTTCCGCGCCAACTAGTTTTAACGATGAGCCATCGGCCGCCACCTTCCTCGCCCCTCCCGTGGCACTTGACTTGGCTCTTCTTGTTTGTTTGCGCTGCATCGACATGCACCGATGCACTCACGATCGGTACGCGCCAAAGGACGACGCGGAACCAACGCACGCACGCACGCACGCACGCACGCACGCGCGCGCGCGCGCACGCATGCATGCACTCACGCACGTTCGATCAAGATCGGCGAACGCGAACGCATCGTCGGGGAATGACGAAAATGTAATTTACAGCAACAGCTGGAAATCGAATATTTACATTACAAACAGAAATATACAAAAGTCTATTGTCACCTCCAGTGAATTCTCCAGACCGCCATGCCACGAAATGAGAAATCGCTAAGACTGTCACGATCTATTAAATTAATGCAACAATTTAATCTCGGCGAACGATCAGAATTATTTTTAGAAATGCACATCGAGAAAATTATACTGGCGCTCGCTAACACGATCAATGATTTCACGGCCCATATTATTTGCATGTTTAATATTGAATGTGCGTTGTTATATCTGTAATAAAAATATTATGCACTATTTATGTGGAGTATCTAATATATCATTAGAATATTGACGATATGAATTTCCCAGCTCTATTCAGATTTCCCATACGTATATTTCCACTACGGTTAATGAATATTTAAATCAGCAAATCAGCACATGAGAATGTAATGGTGACACCTGTAGCCGAACGCGCCTTACGCGAAATCGCAAACAAGAACCGGTTCGTATTCTCGGGTGCCATTGGAATCGTTTAGTCAGGTAAAGTCTCTAAAACAGATGTATAAACATCGGACCAGGAAGGGAATACGGAAAAACAAGCAACGGGCAAAGCGAGGAACGACCCCGGGGGACTTGTTTCGGGATTTCGCGATCGTCGACATTGCGGTTAATTTGTCGCGACATGCCTTGCCATTGGCGATCAACGAAACGATCGATAAGGCCGATGATCAATTTTATTGTGCTGCTTAAGTGAGCGGTGTTGTGGCACGCTAAATGATTCATCGAGAAGGATGTACCGAGCTGCGAGACCGCAAGACTACCTTCCACCGTTGTCGTACATTAAACAAGACACGCCTGCGATACAGATCGCATCAAACAACTTTAATTGAGAAAGACGAGAAATATATCAGGACAGAATCATTTGCTCGGTCGTGCTCGGCCCATCGTGCGAGAGAAATCATTTGTTCTTACGGCGATCCGCTCGATAATGAGAAATATTATGGACCAGGCTCACGGCACGATTCCTTTCACCGCTCGAATCTTCCGTTTCGGGTCTAAGAAGTCGAGAAACCGAATCGCTTCCACGGAATCAGAATCGATTATCGTAAAGAGAAAGTGGGCGTCGATTCATTCGGCCTTTTTAATTCAGTGCCAATCTTCGTCTTCTTCATTCAAAGATCCGGTCCTATAGGCGCGATTACGTGAAACGCTGAAACCTTTCACGATCCGTATAGATACGCTTTTAATAACGAAATTGCAAAACAAGCGCGTCTAATCACGTCGAATAAAAATAGAATGAGAGAAACTTTTGAATACAAGTGATACGTGATGATTAATCACACCCGTAGGCAACGCGAGATTTCAAATACGATTAATTTCTTAATGTTTACATCAGGTTTTACGCGACGTGATGTATCAGAAGACTTAATTATAAAATAAAGATATCAGATTAAAAGATCTTAATAAAAAGATCGTAATAAAACGCCAAAAAAATGCAAAAAAATTCTTATACCCATAATTACCCATTAAATATACTTATTCTAATAGAATTTAAACTTCCGATTAATATTTCTATTAATTCATAGATAATTCCCTTTCAATATTATTACGTTTTAATTATATTAATTTAATTTATTAATTAAAGAGTCTAATAGATTTGATTTTATATATTTTTTAGATATCCTTTTTAAATAATTTAATATAATTTAATAATTATTTTAGAATAGTTTAATAAAGTTTAATAGTTTAATCGCAAAGCTCCCTTGGCTTTTTTTAAAAGCCTCGTTTTTTTTAATTTCTTGCAAATACTAAAAGTACAAATTCCATTGACTTACCTTAACCTTGGCGAGATAGAGCTCTAATTCCCTGTACGGATCCATCCCCGTTGTCTTTTCGCTCGTCACCTTGTCATTTTCGTTATTCTGCACGAGCTTCAAGCGATTTGGCATCTTCGCAACGATCGAACCATTTTGCAGACGACTATCATCTTCTCGTGTAGTCTCCATACTCTCACGGTCACCTCGATGATCTTACACGCATTTTCTCGTGCACCTATAACATTATAAACAATACACCAGTTAGTAACAATAAAAAAATAAAAATAACATATAAATAAAAGTCCATTCATCGCGTAAATAGCAATACATAAAGTAATTGCACGATAGAAAATATGAATATTAAATTAACGCTTTTATTAATTAAATAAAGCAAAATCAATTTGAACTATTTGCCGGAAATTGTTTAATTTAATATAAATAATGAATTTAGGAAGATAAATATCTTATTCACTAAAAGCATATTAATCACACATAATAATGAGCGAATAAAAAGGATATAATAGAAAAATTATAATAGGCAATCAAGAATGATACTCAATCAGTTCATCGAAAAGGAGAAAAAAGCTGAAGGAGACTTAAAAGAAGGATATTCTGGCAAAGGCATTATGTATATAATTAGTCCGTCGTGACTCACTGTGCGGCTGCTGGCTCGCGCGGTTTACATAATCTTAACTTGTCAAATACTTAAAAAAGGGTCTGAAAATGACAGGGTGTGAAGTTGACACTCCCAAATGCGAATTTTTACAAAATTAATATCGCGATTTGATTGTCCACAATTTATCCATAGATAATCCTTTTTTGTCCACACAGCGAAAAAAACAAATAAATAATTAAATTTCGTATATACAAGTTAAAAGAAAAACACATTTAGAAAGATTTATAATAAAATTTGCTGTGATTATTTATTTATAATTCTTTTTCGTTAAAAAACAATTATTTATGGACAAATGTGGGTAGACAAATGTGATACTAATTTTGTAAAAATTCACATTCATTTGGAGTGTCAAAATCACAAACTAGTAAAGTGACCATCTGTTATAATTGCATTCGGCTAAATATAGCAGTCGCACTAGCATTAGTCATTAGAACTAATTATATTTCACGCAAATTAGCCGCATCATTTGCACGTGTGGTAGACTAATTTGAAATCACTTTGTATTAATTTTCCTATTACTCAAGATTGTGTCGCGTTGTATCATTTCATACAAGATCATTTTTTTTAAATCGAAAATCAATTCTCTCAAAGCAAAAAATATTTTAAAAAATTTAACAAACAACAATGATTTTGTATCGTATACATTGTCCGTTTAAGCATTACAATTTTTAATATCGGATATCAACTCGTAAATACATATAAGAAATACATATAAGAAACTTTATAATAATTTATGATAGCCGCGATAAAAGCAGCCTGCATAAATGTTTATGTTATAGATCATAAAATAGAAAAATTATACGACATGTGTAGAATTAGCAAATGTAGACTATTTTGTAAATTACGTGTTTTGTCAACCTTCTATTAATGTTCACGTGTTGTGAACATAGCATATTAAATAAAATATTAGCACTGAATCTGGATTATAAACTAAACGATCTGGTGCTTTCGATCTGAAATGACATAAGGCGTCAAGTATTATAAAATACAATCTGAAATAATTTCTCTTATTTCGTTCGACTATGGCGGAGACATGGCGACGATGGATTGATATTTCTGCACATGGAATTACGTTAATGACACTGATACAAGTGCGATAGTGAAACTAAAATGTGAAACTAAAATGTGAGCATGGTTTTACGCTTCGTCGAGCTGACTAATAATAATTAATATTACATTTTGTACTTACTTTCGACTATCGTATACAACTTTATCATAACGCGTTTAACATTTATCCGTCTATTTATGAAAAAATATTGATAGCGTGATTTTATATCTTAACTCAAAACGACTCTATCGAGTTTTATAATTATTGCAAAACAATTCTCATAATTTATTACAATAAGTTTTGTTGTTACTGAAAAAGTTTCAATAATCCATTATAAGAATTATTATCTAAGGATTTACAATTTAATAAAATCTCGAGATTGTCTGTCGAGTGTTGTCTATTATTATTATCTCTCTATGTTATTGATAGATAGATTATATCATTTAACACATAATCTTATCTCATAAAATTTTTATAAACTTTACAATTATAAAACTATTTGCAACTGCATATAGTCTTTGAATAGGATATTTATGATGATAATAATACTATTCAGGGTCAGTCATTCTTTCTATGCGCAGTAGACTTGCTACGTTAAGTAAATAAAAACAAAAAAATATGAGGAAAACTTGGCGTTCCTTAACAGAAGTTACGCAACCTGTTACATGAATCATATCGGCATAATTAAATCCATCGATACTTCACTCGATACCTTTGTAATTCGCCGAGTATCTCGATGGATATCTACGTGCACGCGATCGCGAGATTACGAATAGATTACATCGTAGCCGCTTGAAGAATACAATACCGCCGCCGTTACAATCGTTGAACCCGCCAACAATGAAGTCATGCATGAGAACACGAATCGCCTGCCTGCACACGTAATATTAGAAAATCACCGGATGTCTAATCGTGGCTGCCTGCCGGCAGCCAATACGCCAGATGATTTCACAGGTGAACGATGGTGCTCGTCACACGAATGTAATACCAACTCACACCAGATAACAACCACATTTGGCTTACACACGTAAAAATATAATATATAAAATATATAATAAGAAACCTTTCCTCAAGCTGTCAATGAAAGCAAAGTGTTAATCAATCATTCTCTGTCTGAATAATATATTCGTTTAGATAAATAAAATACATTTAAAAAAATTAAAAGTCGCGTTGTAGACGTTATTTTATTTTCCTACTCTATTGATCTATTTTTATTTTTAAAGAAATTTAAGAGTTTAAGAAATCAGAATAACGTAAAATTTAAATTTTCCGATGGTGCGAGTAAAGTAAAATTTTATTAAAGCACTAAATAATAAAATCAATAAACAAGTTATTCTTATTGCTAAGAAAAGCTTCCCTTTGCTTTCGAATTATTCTTATCGCTAAGATAAATAAAAAAATTTGTTTATATTTTGGTGGACAGTACGAAAAAAACAATTTCTTTCCTCGATCTTCGCTTTCATCATGCGGAAATTAAAGTCGACGAAATTTCAATTCGTCTGTACTCCGCGTAGGACGTGGGAATATGTGGCTTGCGATAGATAGGTGAGAATTGTCATCAGAATGCCTCGTAAATAACTACGATACCGATGCCTCCCGGTACCGGTATATCTCACCCTGATCGAATACCATTCTGCGAGAGGCGGACACGGATCGTTGGTTAAACTGAATTAAACGGCCCGCTAGACGCGAAAGAGAAAGAGGGAGGAAGAATGACGCGCGCCGTTCTTATCAGCTGGAAATTATTGCTGGTAATTTACCCCGCAATCCTTTTGCTCCTGAGCGCGTTCACACCTGGGTGGCTCGCAGGAATACAGACGGAACAGATCGGAGATCGACTTCGCGGCGTGTATTAACTACCAACGCCTTACTACGTAAATATCGGCACGTCGCGATTTTATCTACTCGCTATGAATTCGATATTATGATGGTTTTCTTTGCAAATTATATTTGTTAAGTTTTTATGCCTTTCAGACAAAATTATCTAATATCAATATACATATAGCAAATAACAATTTGTTTTTAATTTGTTTCTTTGAATGAAATGTTATGTTAATTTAACAAAGATTAATAACAGCTAGAACATTGTTAATACATATGAAAATAATGCAATGTTACAATTAATGTATATTTAAACAGAAAAATACGTCAAAATAATGATAGTAGTTCTCATTAAAATTGACACTATGTAATTAATTATGTCAAAAAAATGTAACGTTTTTTTTTCTTTCTTTCTTCGAAAAGAAGATTTAGTGTAAACTTGCACGTCAATGTATTGATCTGCCATTTAGAAACTAGCGATATTCAAACATTTCCGCACGTGTGGGCGGCCGTAATTCAATTTGCGAGATTTTTTAGACTTTCTGGAGCCTTGCTCTTCTGGAGGTGCGATATGTCGGCGATAATTGTTTTTAGTGTCTCCTCACCAAGAAAGCAGACACGATGGCTTCGTGCTAATCGAAATCGTAAATCCGACCGATAAGAACGCCAAGTGTTCCACGTACGATATATTTGTTACGCGAAACGGAGCTTTAAAGCTGTTTTCGCTTCTTTTTACGGCACATTATTCACACTCTCGGACGTTGTTACGTTCCGCAAGATCTTTGCTCCCGTCGCATTACAACGAAGCGTGATCTCGTAGTACATGTAGGCGGAAATGATCGTCGATCATTTTACATTATATGCAATAAGAATAGCATGCCAAAATAATTATATATGCTGTAAAAGTAGCTAATATAATTTTTTTTAATATTAATTTACCAAATATAATATAAAACAAAAATGTAAATAAAATCGTAATATAAAATCGTTAATTATTTCATAATTATTTAATAAACTGTAAAAAAAGGAAATAGCGTTAAACAATAATCATACAATAATCATCAGTTATACAATAGCAATATTGTATGTAGTGGTGAAGCCACAGAGAAGATCCTTCAGGAAAGGCTAAGTTACATAAGGTTAATTGCAATCCTTCGGACTGCCATACATTGTTCGATACTCGTGTATCAATGCGTGTCCTGTACATATGCATTGACAATGATCGTAATCACGGGACTTTGTTCGGATATTTTATGTAACATTTTTACGCGGTCGATTAGGACTATCTGTATTATGCCGTTTCCAATTTAGAACGCAACTATCAAATCCGTTTTATTAACTTGTTCGTCGGACTAATCCGTTAATTAATCGCTATTGACTGTTACCTCGTTTGTAATTTATGTTAAATTATTCTGCTTGTACTTAACTCGGTCTCAGAGAGTTCTAATAAGCAAACGCTAATTCTATTAATTACTTTATAGGACTGACAGCTCGAAAAATACTGCTCAAAAAATTTCTACACGGTTCGAAGAAGATTGTCAGCGAACGAAGACAACTACTGGAGAGTTCCTTAAAGATGTAGGTTTCAACTAACTATGCGAATCACACAATGACCAACCTATTAACCTTCGCAGCTGTTCGGCTACGTGTAATTGCGGATGTAAACTATTTTCCTCGTCTTGACTCATTG